AATTTTAGCCCTTCAGCTGGATGCCCGTAGCTCATGCCTATAATCCTAGCTACTCAGGAAGCTAAAATCTGAGGATCACAGTTGGAAACCAGCCCAATCAGGAAAGTCTGTGAGACTCTTATTTCCAATAAACTATTCAGAAAAAGCCAGAAGTGGTACTGTGGTTCAAGTGGTAGTGCACTAGCCTTGAACACAAAGAGGCTCAGAACATGTAGGCCCTGAGTTCAAGCACCAGCACCAGCAAAAAAAAAACAAACACAAAACTTTAGCCCTTCATCATACTTACAAATATCAAAACTGGAGATATTAAAACATGGGGAAGAGGCTGGGAAGGTGGCTCAGTGGTAGAGTGCTTGCCTCACATGCATGAGGCCCTGGGTTCGATTTCTCAGCATCACATAAGCAGAAAAAGCTGGAAGTGGCGCTGTGGCTCAAGTCTAGCCTTGAGCTGAAGAGCTGAGGGACAGTGCCCAAGCCCAGAATTCAGGCCTGGACTCTGAACATGGGGAAACACTTTCAGTGGCAAGTGAAAAACACAAGATAACTAATCGCATATACTTGATGATAACATCTTAAGTAACAGAAGCATTGTTAAGATGAAGGAAATTGATGTTAGGGTTGTAGAATTGTGGGAAATTTTTTAAGCCTTTTTTCTGTTAATGAATTTAAAAGTTATCTAGTTTGGCTTGATTCCCAACAATTTACAAATACTCACCTAATGCAAAATATCTCTACCTGCCTGACTCAATAGTACCATGTCCAGAAGTGAGTTCCTGGTCTTTACTTTCAAACAAATGAAAAGGACATTTATTTCTATAAATGATACCATATACATATACATCAGTAAGACATAGAAATGGGATGTGAGCAAGTAACTAACAACTCCTTCAGCACTAAGAATTGTATTCATCTGTTGCTTCCATGAGCCTCTCCATTCTTATTGCCAACCTGATTCCAAGAACCCTTCTGATTTCTCACATCACCACAGGTGAATTTTCCAAAGTATAAGTCACTTTATTATTCAGTCTTGAGAACTTGTCTCTTGCTCACCACATAAAGTGGCATTCTCCAGTGGCATTCTCCATTCTGCCTCCACTAATCTCCAATATGAACCTTTTTTTTTTTTTGGTCGGTCGTGGGGCTTGAACTCTGGGCCTGGGCGCTGTCCTTCAGTTCTGCAGCTCAAGGCGAGCACTCTACCACTTGAGCTACAGCGCCACTTCCGGTTTTCTGGTGGTTTATTGGAGATAGGAGTCTCACAGTCTCTCCTGCCCAGGCTGGCTTTGAACCGCGATCCTCAGATCTCAGCCTCCTGAGTAGCTAGGATTACAGGCGTGAGCCACCAGCACCCAGCTTCCAATTTGAACCTTATACCTCATCCACAGCATTTTCCTCACCATTCCTAGAGTTTCAGGCCTTTTCCTATAAAGCTTGTTTCCTTTACTTTCTCTTGTCAAAAGTCTCTCAAAATCCAATTCATAACTAACATCTATCTATATATATATAAACATAAAAGAAATGAAGGCTGAGGCTATATCTCATTGGTTCTTGCCTATGATCCTCAAAGCACTGAGCCATACACACAGATACAAATGCATATGAAAACCCTAAGTTTTTTTAGGCTTAAAAAAGAGCCAATTTAAAAAAGAGAAAATTGGCCTGGTGCCAGTGGCTCACACCTGTAATCAGTTCAGAAGGCTGAGATCTGAGGATCATGGTTAAAACCAGGCCAGGCAGGAACATCCATGGGACTCTTATCTCCAGTTAAACACCAAAAAGCTAGAAGTAGAACTCTTGCTCAAATAGTAGAGTTCTAGCCTTAAGTTGAAAATGCTCAGGGATAGTGTCCAGGTCCTGAGTTGAAGCCCCAATATCAGAAAATCCTCCACCCCAAAAAAAAAAAAAATAGTTGAAAGCTGGGTGCCAGTGGCCCACGCCTGTAATTCTAGCTACTTAGGAGACTGAGATCTGAAGATCATGGTTCAAAACCAGCCTGGACAGGGAAGTCCATGAGACTCTTATCTCCAATAAACCACTCAGAAAACCAGAAGTGATGCTGTGGCTCAAGTGGTAGTAGAGTGCTCACCTTGAGCTGAAGAGCTGAGGGACAGCGCCCAGGCTCAAGCCCCAATACTGACCAAAAAAAAAAAAAAAAGTTGAACTATTTATCCATGCAACAATATAGTAAATTTCAAACAGGCAAAAGGCCAGACAGGAGTACATATTGTGTATTGTATGTTCCCTAGAAAATAGTTGTTGGGGGCTGGGATGTAGCTCAGTGGCAAAGCGCTTGCCTAGCAAGTGCAATGTCCTGGGTTCGATCCCCAGTACCAAAAAAGAAAAGACAAAAAATAAAAAATAAAATAGTTGTTGGAGAGTGAGAAAAAGAGAATTGATCAGAAAGAAATATGAGGGAAATATTCTGTGTATGGTTTTGGATGTCTTGTGGGTGTATACAGTTGTCAAAACACATTCAATAGAATGCCTAAGAGCTATGAATCTCAATTTATAAAACTTAATTTCAAAAAATTCTGTGGAGAACCTTTCCACAAGGCTGCTCCTGTGGGCTGGGAAGGTGGCTCAGTGGTAGAGCGCTTGCCTTGCATGCTCGAGGCCCTGGGTTCGATTTCTCAGCACCACATAAGCAAAAAAGAAGAAAGCTGGAAGTGGTGCTGTGGCTCAGTGGTAGAGTGCTCGCCTTGAGCTGCAGAACTGAAGGACAGCGCCCAGGCCCAGAGTTCAGGCCCCACGACCGGACCCAAAAAAAAAAAAAAAAAAAAAAGCTTCTCATGTGAAGAAACTACCAGAGTCCTTATTCTTTCTTTTAGAATGTCATACATTCTAATTTGTATACATTAATAGCATGTATATAGAAACACATTTTGCTCACTAGACTAGAAGGTCTTAGAAAACAGAATTCACTACTGATAGACATTGTTCTTTGGATAGTTCCTAAGCTAAAGAACCTAAAGGCTCAGTACAAATTTATTGGATAAAAATGTATTCACTCTGATCATTTTATTATTCCTTCTCAGGAGAAAGTAAAGATCTTTAAAACTGGAAATGGTGGTACTTGACTGTAGTCCCAGCACTCAGAATGCTAAAGTGGTGGGAGAATTACTTAAACCCAGCAATTTGAGACCAGCCTGAGCACCTAGTGAGACACCATGGGGGAGTGGGAGTCTGGGGGTGGATCTATAAATGGAACAGCTAACTACTCACAGCTCAGATAATCAGCTTCAGAGGAATGAAGGTTTCATATGTTTTTGTTTTTTTCATTTTGTAATGCTGGAAATTGAACCCAAAGCCTCATACATTCTAAACAAATGCAATACCATTTGGGGAACCATATCTGTGGCCCAATTTTTATGATACCTAGGTATCCTAACTTCTCTAAAATTTAAACTCTGACTGAAGACAGTATATTTTTTAAGTATTTTGCGTACCATCCCTTTGTGAATGAAAGTTAAGGTCACAACTTTGCCAGAAATTACTTATTTATGCTTCCCTGTCATTGGCTACAGCAGACCTCACTTTCAGTCTTCGCAACTTTACTGTTAAGCCCAGAGAGCCTCAGAAGTTTTGGTTTAGAGCTGGACGCTGGTGGCTCACGCCAGTAATCCTAGCTACTCAGGAGGCTGAGATCTAAAGATTGCAGTTCAAAGCCAGCCCAGGCGAGGCTCTTATCTCCAGTAAACCACAAGAAAAACCAGTGTGGCTCTAGTGGTAGAGCACTACCCTTGAGCTGAAGAGCTGAGGGACAGTGCCCAGGCTCAGATTCAAGCCCCATGACTGACACGCACCACAAACAAAAAAGTTGGTTTAGCCTTCTATTTCAGGTAGCCACACTCAATGAAGCCTCCACAATTTGTGTTGAGCACTTAACATTCCCAGGAGAGAGGGGGCTCCATAGAATTTCCTAGAAGGCTGATTAGTCATATAAAAATGAATCATTGGCCAAGATATGGAGAGCAGTTAATTGTTTCACAATAAAAAAAATAAATAACAAAAAGATGTGAAAATGTTGGTCATCATCCATGCCTGTACTATTAGCTACTCAGGGCTTGAGATTCTGAAGATTTTGGTTTGAAGTCAGCATGAGCAGACAAATCTGAGATACTTTTATTCTCTAGTTAACCAATAGAGAAGCTGAAGTAGAAGGGGCTGAAGTGGTAGTACATCAGTCTTGAGCAGAAAAAGCCAAGTGAAAAGTATGAGGCCCTGAATTCCAACCCCAATACTAGCACATACACACAAAAGGAAAACTAGTATCTGAAGTTTTAAATATTAATAAGTTTGTTTAGTTTTGTTTGTTTTTTGTTTGCCAGTACTGGAGGCTTGAACTTAAGGCCTATATGCTGTCCCTCAGCTTTTTTTCTTAAGGCTAGTACTTTACTACTTGAGCCATAGCTCCAGTTGCAGCTTTTCGTTAGTTAATTGGAGATAAGAGTCTCACAGGCTTTCTTCCTGGGCTAGCTTTGAACTACCATCCTCAGATCTCAGCCTCCTGAGTAGCTACAATTACAGGTCTGAGCCACTGGCACTTGGCAATAACTCAGTTTTATTTTTAGGTAATGGAAACCAGCAATCAGGAAACTTGGGTTTGTTTTCAGCTCTGGCAGTGGTTTGGGGAACTAAAGTTCTGTGATCTTGGTTGTTTCAGTTGAGACAATTATTACCTATTCAATGGAGTCCTAAGTAAATCTAAATATAGATTATATATAAGATTACATTTTGTAGTCAAATTGTATCTTTGTGTGTGTGTGCCACCTGTGCCTGACTTCAAATCATGTCTATAAACAAAAATAAATGGGGAAAATAAATTGATAACACTCTTATTTGTGTATGTGAAAATTGTTTGAAAAACCAGTAACTTTTATAAACTGTGTTGCATAAATTCATACATGTGATATGAGCAAAATGAAATTTGTAGATGAATAATAACATGCAACTTTTACAAGAGAAGACTTCACCATTTCTTTGGTTTATTTTTCTGATAGCCATCATGGCAACTTCATCTGAAGAAGTTTTGTTGATTGTAAAAAAGGTGCGTCAAAAGAAGCAGGATGGAGCTCTATACCTCATGGCAGAAAGAATTGCTTGGGCACCTGAAGGCAAAGATAGATTTACAATCAGCCATATGTATGCAGATATTAAATGTAAGTCAAATATATTACACTTTATATGTGTGTGTGTATCGTATCGTATAGTATTTTTATGTCCGGTTTCTTTTTTTGGGGGGTGGGGGGGTCCGGTTATAGGGCCTAAACTCTGGGCCTGGGTTGCTGTCCCTCAGTTCTTCAGCTCAAGGCTAGTGCTCTACCACTTGAGCCACAGCGCCACTTCCGGATTTTTCTTTTTTGCTTATGTGATGCTGAGGAATCGAACCCAGGGCCTTGTGCATGCAAGGCAAGCGCTCTACCACTGAGCCACCTTCCCAGCCCCTATGTCTGGTTTCTTTTTGTAGTACTAGGAAGGAAACACAAACATTGTGCATGCTACAAGCATTCTGCATTAAGCTATATCCTAATTCCCTATTGTAATTTTTTTTTCTTTTGGTCAGTGGTGGGGCCTGAACTCTGGGCCTGGGCGCTGTCCCTCAGCTCTTCAGCTGAAGGCTAGCACTCTACCACTTGAGCATCAGCCCCACTTCCGGCTTTTTCTGCTTATGTGGTGCTGAGGAATCGAACCCAGGGCCTCATTCATGCAAGGCAAGTGCTCTACCACTGAGCCACCTTCCCAGCCCCCTTATTGTAATTTTAAAAGATTGTTTTTGTAGTCTTGGTAAGATTCGTTTCTCCTTATTTATTAATTTATACTATTTATACCCTGATCTTTTCCTTATTAATAGACCTTTCCATATATGTATGTATGTATGTATGTATGTATACCTGTACCTCATAAATATTTCCATACATATTTTGCTTTAATAGTTGGATAAGCTGGCTGTGGTGATTCAAGCCTATAATCCTAGCTACTTGGGATGCAAAGATTGGAGAATTGTGGTTCAAGGCCAGTCAGGGCATAAACAGTTCAAGAAACTCCATTTCAGCCAATGGCCAGGCATGGCAACTCTGATTATAAGGGATTCTTTGAGAAAAGGTATTTCTGAAAAAAACATGAAGATTGGAACAGGGCTGATAAAGCCCAAGCAAACCTGAATCTTATTGAGAGTAGAAGTAACCTATTGTCTAGCAGCTTCTACAATGTGACTGTTCTTATCTTAGTTTCATGCTTCCTTTTTAGGTCAGAAAATCAGTCCAGAAGGAAAGGCTAAAATTCAGCTTCAGCTGGTTCTGCATGCAGGAGACACAACTAACTTCCATTTTTCCAATGAAAGCACAGCAGTGAAAGAACGAGATGCAGTGAAGGACCTTCTTCAGCAGCTACTGCCCAAATTCAAGAGGAAAGCAAATAAGGAACTAGAAGAAAAAAACAGGTAATGAAGAAAAGATTAGTCTTTTAAAGAGATGCTAGATTTTTGTCTACTCCCTTGGTAGAGTAATAGCTCATTATTATCCACCACCACCCCCTTTTTTTTTTTTCTGTGCCAGTACTGGGGCTTGAACTCAGGGCCTAGGAGCTGTGAGCTGTTAAGAGTCTTACAAACTTGGGGCTGGGAAGGTGGCTCAGTGGTAGAGTGCTTGCCTTGCATGCATGAGGCCCTGGATTCGATTCCTCAGCACCACATAAGCAAAAAGAAAAAAGCCGGAAGTGGCGCTGTGGCTCAAGTGGTAGAGTGCTAGCCTTGAGCTGAAGAGCTGAGGGACAGCACCCAGACCCAGAGTTCAGGCCCCACTACCGGACAAAAAAAAAAGAATCTTAGAAACTTTTCTGCTCAACCTGGCTTTAAACCTTGATCCTCAGATCTTGGCCTCCTAACTCATTAGGATTATAGGCATGACCCCCCAGTACCTGGCACTTTGCCCTATTTTTCTTATATAGTCAGGTATAGGAAATAAAATCTTTAGTGTTTTTACCACCATGTATAATTGTCAACTTTAGCATATTGGTAGCTGTGTGACTTTATGCAAATGAGAATATGCAAACCCAAAGCTTTAAAGTAACTGCATATAGCCTAACATTTGATTAGGAGCAGAAATGAAATAGAAGGTACTAAGGTTCCTTGGTTTCTTTTCCCAATTCTCTATCACAGAGAAGATATTAAAATATTATGATATGTTTGTGAATGAGAAAAAAAAGTGAGATAGATAGCATGTAAAATAATGAGAATTTCTGAGATGAATTATTCCATTTACCAATATGTATCAGACTATTCATTCTTTCAGCTCCCAGTGCTTGTCAAAATGACAAACTACTTATTGGAAAATCTCTAGCATAGCTCCTCTCTTCCCTTTCACCTTTCTGTGTAAAAGACAATACAGTACCCTACCAAAAAAAAAAATTAATCTCTATCACAGGAATACAAAGCAAAATCCATGCTTTCTAAGAGAGATCGAGAAAGCCAATACTGGTTGAACTTAGAGTGTGGGTGGGTGGGTGTCACAGTCAGTGCTGGTTGAACTTACGGCCAGGGCACTGTCTCTTAGGGGAAAAAGCTCAAGGCTGGAACTCTACCACTTGAGCCACACCTCTATTCTCAGCTTGTCTGCCTGGGCTTGCTTCAACCTGGGATCCTCAGATTTGAGTCTCCTGAGTATCTTGGCATGAGTTACCTGTCCCTAGCTAAGAATTTAATCTTCACTTCAAATTTATCTCTGTCTCCATTCATTTTTCCCCAGGTTTTCTTTTTCTTAATTGGTTAAAAGTAAACTAAAAATTAGCCAGGCTCTAGTGTCTCGCACCTGTAATCCTAACTACTTAGGTGCCTGAGATCTGTGGATCATGGTTGGAAATCAGCCCAGGCAGGTAAATCTGAGATTCTTATTTCCAATTAACTACCAAAAATGTCAGAGATAATTCCCAGGCCCTGAGTTCTACCAGTCCCCAAGCATGTAGGGGGTCAGGGGCGATCTCCACTACTCAATTACTACAAGATAAAAGTTGTTTCATGTCACCAAAAGCCTTTAAAAATATTATTTAAATGGTGTTTTATTGTAGAAATTGAATTACTTTTAATATAATCTATCACCAGAATGCTCCAAGAAGATCCTGGTTTGTTTCAGCTTTATAAAGACCTTGTTGTAAGTCAAGTGATCAGTGCTGAGGAATTCTGGGCAAATCGTTTAAATGTGAATGCAACAGATAGTTCTTCCACATCCAATCACAAGCAGGATGTCGGCATTTCTGCAGCATTTCTGGTATGTGACACTTGGAGATTTCTGAAGGAAAGAAGTCATAAGTTCAGTATGTGTGTTTACAAAGATTTTCTTTCTTTTTTTTTTTAATTGTGAAAATACTGTACAGAGGGGTTACAATTACATGGGCAAGATAATGGGTACATTTCTTATCAAGCATTGTAGTCTCCTCCTTCCCATCCTCCCCCCCCCCCCCGGCCACGCCCTCCAATCCCCCTCTCCCCCAAAGTTGTAAAGTTCATTTTCAACATAATGACTTGTACATCTCATTGTTGCAATGGGTCCACCTGTATCCCTATTTAAACGATTTGTTTTTCCCCTTCCCCTCCACAAATTATACTGACATCAAATACAGTGAAAGCAGAGGTTATACTGTGGGGGAGGGACATACAAAGCAACAAAGAAATAATCTTATAAATGTGTTAGAAACAATCACATGAAAGAAAAAAAAAATTTGAATACATATCTTAGGGTTCATTTCCCTAACATCATCTTATCTGACCTTTTCTGCTTGACTCAGACATATACTAGATATTGCAAATAAGGGAAACCATGGGACCTATGTTTCTTTGGGCCTGGCTTACTTCACTTAATATAATTTTTTCCAAGCCTTTCCATTTCCTAACAAATGGGGCAATGTCATTCTTTCTGATGGAGGCATAGAATTCCATTGTGTATATATACCACATTTTCTTGATCCATTCATCTACTGAGGGGCATCTGGGTTGGTTCCATATCTTAGCTATGGTAAGTAATGCTGCAATAAACATAGTTGTGCTGGTAGCTTTAGTGTGGTCTTGTTTGTAAACATTTGGGTAAATGCCCAAAAGTGGGATTGCTGGGTCCTATGGGAGTTCTATGTGAAGTCTTTTGAGGAACCTCCATACTGCTTTCCAAAGTGGTTGAATACAATGATTTTCTTAAAATAAAAATTAGTATTTCCTAAGGAGGAGGCTACAATGCTTGATAAGAAATGTATCTTGCCCATGTAATTGTAACCCCTCTGTACAGTATTTTCACAATTAAAAAAAAGTATTTCCTTAAGTAAATTAGTGGAAAGCTCAGTTTCAATGTTCTTGTAAAATACTTCCCAATGCAAATAAAATTTTAAAACTTCATTATTTTTATTATTCTGTTGTTGTGGTGAGTGGGTGCTAGGTAAGTATTCTTACCACTGAGCTTCATTCCCAGCCCTTATAAGTCTTTTTAATTAGATATAGATACAAATATAGATACACTTTCTTATTTTTGAACTTGACACTAGCATGCCAGCACCCAAATGGACTTTCAAAAGGACTCTTAGAAATTGGATTGAAACTTATTTTTTCTCCAAAAAAATTTCCAGTACTGGGAAAACCAGCATAAACCTAGAGCTTCTAACATGCTAGACAAGTACTCTCCACTTGAGTCATGCTCCACTCTTTTTGTATTTTTATCTTTGAGGTAAGGTCTCGTTCACTTCGCCTTGACTGGCCTTGAACTTTCAGTATTACTTCCACTTCCAGTTTTACTGGAATTTTGGTGGTGTCCTATCATGTCCACCCATTTTGCTCTTTGTATACAAAATCCAGTGTAGTTTCATTTTCACAGTTCTGCGTCAGCCTCTTGTAATATTTTTTACAAGTAAAGCTTATAAAATGCATGTAATAAAGAAATTAGAAATAGCTATGGAATTAAGAAATAGAATTCTTTGTGTCATTGAAACTAGAACAGCATTTACGCACTCAGCAGAATATTTTGAATACTAGGCTGACAGTGGTAGCACATGTTTCTAATCCTAGTACTCAGGAGGCATGAGGATTCTGAATTCAAGGCCAACCTGGTCTGTACAGTGAATTCTACGAAAACTTGGACTACACAAAGAGATCCTAGCTCAAAAAGCAAAAGCAAAGAAAAATGTGAATGCTGATTGTATATTTAGTATCTTTCACATGATTGGTAGTATGTTTGAATTTATGAAGTATTTCCTTAGGAAATGAATCACCAAGCTGGGCACTGATGGCTCCCTCCTATATTCCTTCTCAAGAGGCTGAGATCTGTGGATCATATTTAGAAGTCAGGTGGGCAGTCAAGTCCATGAGACTCTTATCTCCATTTAACCAGCAAAAAACTAGAAATGGAGCTGTGGCCCAAGTGGTAGAGCACCAGCCTTGAGCACAAAAGCTAAGAGCAGTGCCTAACCCCTGAGTTAGAGATAGGAGCTTGTTCACTTCCTTGACAAAAATAAAAAAAGTCACCGCATGGCAGTTTAACTAGTAACCAAGGTTTATAATGGCTTGGGCAGCTATAAAAGTTTTATATTAGTTCTATACCTTTGGCCATACTTTAACATGCTTATTTGGTTACTTGCAAGGAAACATTTTATATATCAGTAAGGGTCTGAGGAAGCAGTCTAGGCTTCTTTGAGTCATGTCTCCATGTCAAAAGTAAAGTGAAAGACTTATTGTCTCTTCATTTAGAAAAGCCGGGCACTGGTGGCTCATGCCTGTAATCCTAGCTACAAAGGAGGCTGAGATCTGAGGATCACGGTTCAAAGCCAGCCCGGGCAGGAAAGACCGTGAGACTCCTATCTCCAATAAACCACCAGAAAAGCGAAAGTGGCACTGTAGCTCAAGTGGTAGAGCGCTCGGCTTGAGCTGAAGAGCTGAGGGACAGTGCCCAGGCCCAGAGTTCAAGCCCCATGACCAACAAAAAAAGAAAAAAAAAAAGAAAAATCTGTTTCTAGCCTTTGTGTAGTATCTTTCAGGAGCTTAGACATAGTCCTGATTTGTTAATATATGTAAATATTCATGTGTGTGATTTTCATTTTAGGCTGATGTCCGGCCCCAAACAGATGGCTGTAATGGTTTGAGATATAATTTAACTTCTGATATTATTGAATCCATATTTAGAACCTATCCAGCAGGTAAGACTTATTCTATTAACCTTCAGGTGGTTACAATATATATTTAGATGAATCTGTTACTCTATCAATGAAAGAAAACTTTTCTTTACTCCTGATTAAGTGCAATAAAATATGTAAAATCTTTGTTCTGTTTTTTGTGGGGGAGGGAGGTTTGGTTTTTGTGGTGGTGGTTGTCGTGGGGCCTGAACTCTAGGCCTGGGCTCTGTCCCTCAGCTCTTCAGCTTAAGGCCAGTGCTCTACCACTTGAGCCACAGCGCCACTTCCAAAATACCTAGTGCCCTATATATGATAGATACTAATAGCTCAGTAAATAATGTACTATATAATTAATTCGTTAATACGATGGGTATCCTTTCCTTGGCACTGTCCCTTAGCTCTTTCTCTCAAAACTGGCACTTTACCACTTGAGCCACACCTCCACTTCTGGGTGTCATTTCTTTCTAGCAGTGTTTCTTAAACTTTAACCCTCAGTGCACCTGAGTAAAATGAAATGCTATAGAAACATCCTTAAATGAGTTTCTTCACACCACAACCAGACATCATCCCTCACATTGTATCATTTCCCATACCCTAAAAGTATAAATTGTCCCTGGGCCCATTGTATGTGCAGGTATGAAGAAGAGCCATTGCTTCAGTCATTGTTCTGACCAAATAATGTTCCTTAAACCCAATATTGTTATTATCACTTCCCCAGCCCTGTCTCTTAATTTCATATCTTTCTGAAAATAGTAGCACAGTTTCATAGTTTTACTGCGTGCCAGACACTATTCTAATGTTTTTTTCTATATTCATTTAATCACAAATATTCTTAAAATAGATATTATGATCATTATTTTACAGATATATAAATGACAAGGAAGCAAATTTAGGTCTGACTTCAAGGTTGTTGGTGTTTGCAATGAAATTTAAGAAATTGGGCCAGGTATCTGTAATCCTAAGTATTCAGGAGGCTGAGATCTGGGGATCGTGGTTGGACACTAGCCTGGGCAGAAAAGTCCCCATGAGACACTTATCTCCAGTTAACCACTCAAAAACGAAGTGGAGCTGTGGTTCAAAGTGGTAGAGTACTAGCCTTGAGCAAAAGAGCTCTGGGACAACACCCAGGCCCTGAGTTCAAACCCCACAACCAACCAAAAAGAGAACTTAATTTTTACAGGTATTAATTTGCATATATACATGTGAAAAACTTAAACCATATTCACCCTCTCTGTTGGCCCTTCCCTCCTACCCAGTATCCACCTCTTAACATAGCCTATTTTATTTTCCTGTAATTCTTTTTTTAAAAAACAAATACTGTACAAAGGGGTTCATCGTGGTAATTTACACATACACATAATTAGATTAACCTGATCTGTATTGTTTCCATCTTTTTTATCCCCTTGTTGAAGAATTTTTTATGTATAATGAGGTATTTTATCTAATTTGTGGAAGTTTGTAGGTCTAGTTTCTCACCTAATCTCAAATTATATTTCATATTTATAACTAAATTGTAACAAATGGTATATAGATATAAGAGCCTTAAATTCTAGTTTTTGGTTTTAGTCTGTGTTTCAGTTGAGAGAGTATAAAAAATGAATATTGAGGGCTGGGAAGGTGGCTCAGTAGTAGAGCGCTTGCCTTGCATGCATGAAGCCCTGGGTTCGATTCCTCAGCACCACATAAGCAAAAAAAAAAAAGCCAGAAGTGGCGCTGTGGCTCAAGTGGTAGAGCGCTAGCCTTGAGCTGAAGAGCTGAGGGACAGCACCCAGGCCCAGAGTTCAGGCCCCACGACTGGACCCCCCAAAAAAAAAAAATGAATATTGAGAGCCAGAGGCCAATGACTCATACCTGTAATTCTAGCTACTCAGGAGGCTAAGATTTGAGGATTGTGGTTCAGAGCTATCCCAGACAGGAAAGTCTGTAAGACTCTTATCTCAAATTAACCAGCAAAATGCCATAAATGGATCTGTGGTCCAAGTGGTAGAGCCCTAATCTTGTGCAATACTCAGGGACAGTGTTTAGAGCCCTGAGTTCAAGCCCCAGTCCAGCACAAAAAAAAAAAGAAATGAATAATCAATATATAATTTCCTGTGGGATTTTTTCTTTACAGTAAAGATGAAATATGCAGAAAATGTTCCTCACAACATGACAGAAAAGGAATTTTGGACACGTTTTTTCCAGTCTCATTATTTTCATAGGGACCGGCTAAATACAGGGTCAAAGGATCTCTTTGCAGAATGTGCCAAAATAGATGAAAAAGGTAACTGTTTATCCCTATCCCTGATATACTCTAGTATCTAGTTGTTGGAGCTGTTATTTTGTTTTATTTTATGTTTAAGAAAGCTAAGCCTTGATGGACCTTTTATTTCATTGATTTTCTAGGGTTAAAAACAATGGTTTCATTAGGAGTAAAAAACCCACTACTAGATTTGACAGCTTTGGAAGACAAGCCATTAGATGAGGTAAGAAGCAATAAAAAGGAGTTTGAGGGGCTGGGAAAGTGGCTCAGTGGTAGAGTGCTTGCCTTGCATGCATGAGGCCCTGGGTTCAATTCCTCAGCACCACATAAGCAGAAAAAGCCAGAAGTGGCACTGTGGCTCAAGTGGCAGAGTGCTAGCCTTGAGCTGAAGAGCTGAGGGACAGTGCCCTGAGTTCAGGCCCCAGGACCAAAAAAAAAATGAATAAATAAATAATAAAAAGGAGTTTGAGGTAAAGCAGTCTTTTCCTAGGTTCTAGAAAATTATTTTTATAATTTAAAAATAAGCTGAAAAGTATAGATGTTCACTTGTGAGATTGTAAGATAAGTAAAATACTGATAAAATCTTAAAGCCTTGGGTTTGATCTCCATCCCCAAAAGATATGCTTTTGGTAGTGCTATTTACTGTAAAAACTGCCTTGAATTTGCCAGGCAACAGTGGCTCCCATTTATCTTAGCTGAGCTCTGAGGATAGAGGTTCAGAACTAACCCAGATAGAAAAGGATATGAGACTTCATTGCCAATTAACTAGTAAAAAAGCCAGAAATGAAGTTGTGGCTGAAGTAAAAAATGCTAGACTTGAGCAGAAAAAGTTGAAGGACAGTCCCAGTCTTGAGTTCAAACTCCCCCAGCACAGCTCTGATATATGATGACATACTAACACTTTTTAGAAACATTTTCACTCTCCTATGAGCAATTTTCCAGGTAATTATGAAGACTTAACATAGTAAGGTAACCTTACTTTAAAGAAATATAAATATTAGTAGATAAGTAGATTTTTCTACTCTCTGAAAAAACTTGGCCCACAGCAGCCCAAGTATGTTTCAGCAACTATGCTATCAAGTATGAGCTACTTAATAGCACCATTACTCCAGTTAAACAGACTTTTCCATTCACAGAGAAAGAAGCAATTTCTTTTGCTTCCCATTTTCTGGTCCAAAAATCTGTCATTACTCCTCGTTTTCTTAGCCTTCTTTGAGCTCCTTTTGTATATACTTTTGTGTATACTTTTAATATACTTACAACTTCCTTTATTGTTTTTTTTCCTCCTATCTTACCCTCTTAGTTTTAGTATATGTCATCACCAGGTGAAGAAAAACTACTGTTAAAATTTTATGCTAGCTGGGCATCAGTAGCTCATGCCTGTAATCCTAGCTACTCAGGAGGCTGAGATCTGAGGATCGCAGTTCAAAGCTAGCCAGGGCAAGAGAGCCCGTGAACCTCTTATCTCCAATAAACCACCAGAAAACTGGAAGTAGAGCTGTGGCTAAAGTGGTAGAGTACTCGCCTTGAGCTGAAGAGTTGAGGGACCATGCCAAGGTCCAGAGTTCAAGCCCCACAACGGGGAGGGGGAGGAGGGAATTATGCTACATTCTAATTATAAACTAACAAAATAATATTTGGTGCTCAGATGAGTCATTTCCTTGATGAAATTCAGTTATTTTCTTGTTAGTTCTCCCGACTCAGTAGTTTCTTTGGTGAATTGGAGCACATTATAAAATAGCTCTTTTTTAATCATTCTGAGGTAATGCTTTGTGAAAATTACAGATACAGTTCTGAATGGTGGGGCAAAATAATTTTTAATGGCATATTGTACATGCAACTTTGAAGCATTTCTTTTCACTTTATTATCAATACGCCATACTAAATATACCAAAGTTTGGTGTTTGTTTTGAGACAATCTTACTCAATTCTGCCTCCCCCATCTAGTGTCTGTGATTATAGGACATTGCAGCAGGCTCTACTATATAGTCTTTAAAACCAAACTACCTGACTCCACCACTGATCTAAAAAACAAACGAAAATAACCCCACATATCTAAGCTCACTTGTTTTTGGTTTTTAATTAGTTAGATTAACAGTACTAAAAAAACAAACAAAAAAAAAACCCCACATATCTAAGCTCGCTTGTTTTTGGTTTTTAATTAGTTAGATTAACAGTACTAGGCTATTTTACAGGCTATAGAGGATATGAGGGCAATCTGGCTATAATATGTTACCTCATTGATTGCCAGTGGTGATTCAGCTGATCTGTCTGGCTAGGCAGGTATCTCCTTCCTGATAGAGGAACTGTTCTTCTCTCAAAGGTATACCTCCATCCAAACTCTCAAGAGAGGCTGAAGAAGGTATAGGTCAGTGATAAGAGTCCAAGCTTATCTTGTGTGATGTCCTGAGTTCCATTCCCAGCACTGCCCAAAAGACAATTTAAAGAGCCTACTGAGCCAGGCACCGGTGACTCACACCTGTAATCCTAGCTACTCAGGAGGCTGAGATCTGAGGATCACGTTCAAAGCCAGCCCAGACAAGGAAAGACCCTGAGACTCTTATCTCCAATAAACCACTCAGAAAACCAGAAGTGGCTCTGTGGCTCAGGTGGTAGAGCACTAACTCATCTTGGGCTGAAGAGCAGAGGGACAGCGCTTAGGCCCAGAGTTCAAGCCCCATGACCGACAAAAAAAAAAAAAAGAGCCTACTTCATATGCTCCATGAATAACATGTTATTGCCATTATCTATATTTTTAAATGTCTCCATAGTATTCCATTAATACAAACAATCCCTTTCATAGAAATAGTATTGATTCTATTTTTCCTCGTTCCTACCTCTTTTTTTTTTTTTTTTTTTTTTTTTTCCGGTCATGGGGGCCTGAGCTCTGGGCCTGGGCACTGTCCCTCGGCTCAGCTCTTCAGCTCAAGGCTAGCACTCTACCACTTGAGCCACAGTGCCACTTCCAGCATTTTCTGCTTATGTTGTGCTAAGGAATCGAACCAAGGGCCTCATGCATGCAAGGCAAGCACTCTACCACTAAGCCACCTTCCCATCCCCTACCTCTACTTATTTTAACTGTTAACAGGATAGGATCTCAAGCCTCCCAAATGCATTGTTTCATAAACACTTAATTATGTAATGATGAATCTCAAATTTCCCTCATCTCACTCCAAACCTCCAAATCATTCGAATTACCTGCTTGATGTCTCTAAGATATTTCATAGGCATAAGCCCCAGGACCAACACACACACAAACCTAAAAAGGTGTAAAGGGTAAGGCATTTAACTCAGTGATAACATTTTGTTAGCAGATATAAGACCATGCAACTAGCATAGAATTGGGGGGAGGGGGCAGAAGTTTAAAAATATTTTTGTACTAAAAGGACTTTGTATTACTAATTATGGGTAAAATACCACTTGTTCTTAAACATTTTCTAGTAAATATGTAGAAATGTTGTTGAGAATAAAGTGTGTTGGGTTCTGATGGCTCACACCTATAATCTTAGTTACTTAGGAGACAGAAATCTGAAGATTGTTTTGAGAAGAAAGATTGAAGTCAGCTGAGGCAGAAAAATCCATGAGACTCTTATTTCCACCCTACCAAAAAGCTGAGGCAGAAAAATCCATGAGACTCTTATTTCCACCCTACCAAAAAGCTGGAAGTAGAGGTGTGGTTCAAGTCGCCCAGCACTAGCCTTGAGTGAATAGCCCAAGGAAAGATGAGGCTCTGAGTTCAAGCCTCAGTATGGTATAAAAAGAGTCCTGTGATTTTTTTTTTTTTTTTCAAATAAGCAGGTCTTTTTTATATAATAGATGAAAAAAAAAAAGCAGAACCTTACTTTGATTTTAATCTACAAAATTGTTTCCATAGGGCTATGGCATTTCCTCAGTGCCATCTACTTCCAATTCTAAATCCATAAAGGAGAATAGTAATGCTGCAATCATCAAGAGGTTTAACCATCACAGTGCCATGGTTCTGGCAGCTGGTCTCAGGAAACAGTTAAGTATACATGGAAAGATTTGGTCACTAGGCTTTTCAGAATATCCAAGTGGAGTTGTGGTGAGTTCTGCTTGTAGTTTTAACATTAATGTTTTTCCCTTTGTTTTTAAGACAAGCACAAAATGAACAAAATGGTGAACCCAGCCGCATGGATGGAAATTCTGGAGATGCTGACTCGTTTCAGCCAGCAATAAAAAGGGTATGGGCACAAAATTTGGGCCAGTTAGAGCTTGGGTTTCTCCAGGTATAAAGTTGCTTATTTCATATGACTTAGCATTTCTGACCAAGATGCATTAGGCTTGGCATTTAAGCCTTAGCACTAAAAAAAACATTAAAAATAAGAAGACAGACAGAGGATCCCTTTTTTCTCTCCCTTTAGTCACTTGCACTGCCACCTGAACCATGACTAAAACTTCTCCCCCTTTATTAAGTATTCTTTATTATTATTATTAAGTAGTTGTCCAAAGGGGTTTCAATTCCGCCTTGATCAATGTTAACCCTTCCATTGTTCTCTCCCACATTTAATGGTTTTTATGATGGGTTTATCAAGGATTAAGTGCATTTTCAATTTAGTTTTGGTTTTATCAGGGTATGGCACTATTAAAAGTAGTGGAGCATCTGTATTGCATCAAAGGGTTTATGGAACTGGTATGGTAGTACATGCCTGTATAATCCCAGTATACAGGAGGATCACAAGTTCCATGCCAGTCAGGGTTAGACCCTGTGTCAATATTTAAAATTTAAGCCAGTGGCTCACGTTGTAATTTTACCTACTCTGGAGGCTGAGATCTGAGGATTGCGGTTCAAAGTTAGCCTCAGCAGGAAGTCCATGAGACTTACCTACAATTAACTACCAGAAAATTGGAAGTAGCGCTGTGATTCAAAGTGGTAGAACTCTAACCTTGAGCAAAAGAGCAAAAAAGGGATAGTACCCAGGCCCTGTGACCTTGGGGGGGGTGGGGCGGTGAGAATTAATTTTTTTCAAAGGATATTTTATAAACTGGGCACTAGTGGCTCACACTTGTAATCCTAGCTACTCAGGAGGCTGAGATCTAAGGAATGCAGTTCAAAGCCAGTCTGGGCAGGGAAAGTCTGTGAGACTCTTTATCTCCAATTAACCACCAGAAAACTAGAAGTGGTGCTGTGGCTCAAGTGGTAGAGTGCTCATCTTGAGCTCAAGAGCTCAGGAACAGTACCCAGGCCCAGAGTTCAAGCCCCACGAGCAGCAAAAGAGAAATAAACAACAAAAAAAGGTACTTTATAGCAAAAGAAGTTTAGGAACTTTAAAAGACCTTCAAAAAAAGGTTGTTATCTTTCAGTAATAGTTGCTTCAGTAATGCATTTCTGTGAAGGGATAAATGAATACTATTTATTTCACTACTTTATTGTGTTTCCATGGGTTTATATTAACATTTAAAATGAACAAAGGCAATGAAATACTTCAAAACAAAGTCAGTGAGATACTTCATTTTTTAACTAAGTAAGATTAAGATATAAATTACACCTGGGTTCTAGTGGCTCACACCTGTAATCATAGCTACTCAGGAGCTGAGATCTGAAGATTATGCTTTGAAGTAAGTCCAAACAAGAAAGTCTGTGAAACTCTTATCTACAATTGGCCACTCTAACAGTGGAAATGGAGATGTGGCTCAAGTACTGAGTGCCAGCCTTGAGTGAAAAAGCTAAAAAACGACCATGCCCAATCTCAAGCCTCATTACTTGCATTAAAAAATACATAAATAAAAGATACGTAAGTTATAGAGATTGTAGAAATCTAAAACGTGATGGTTTTTTTTGCAATACTGTGCCCTAAATTAAATACCCTTGATTTATGGTAGTGAACTATCAGAAATTTTTGTTTTCCAATATTGATTTTTACAGTATTCAATAGTAAATGCTGCCTCAGAATATTTCTGTACAGTCTTTCAGTTGTTAAGTGTTGTATACTTTACAACAATTTTATAAAATAAGTAATTCAAAAGTAATAGTTGGGAGAAAAAAGTAATCATTACCTGAGGATGTAGTTCAATAGTAGAGTACATGGCTAACATGAATAAGACCCTGGCTTCACATCTAAGTACCACCACCACAAAGCGAGGCACCAGTGGCTCATACCTATAACCCTAGCTGCTCAGGAGGCTGAGGTCTGAGGACCTTGGTTTGAAGTCAGCCAAGGCAGGGCAGTCTGTGAGACTTATCTCCAATTAACCACAAAAAACAGCAGGAAGTGGCACTGTGGCTCAAGTGGAAGAGCACTCACTTTGTGCTGAAGAGCTCAGGGACATTGCCCAGGCCCAGAGTTCAAGCCCCACGCACCCCCCCCACCCCCCCCCCCACCAAAAAAAAAAGTCACGCAATTTCCACAGGCTGGCTTTGAACTGTGATCTCAGCCTCTTAAGTAGCTAGGGTTACAGGCATGAGCCCCCAGCACTGGCTAAAATGCAAACTTTAATGTATCAGATTGATGAAAATTAAAGGTTCTGTAATTCTTAATACAACCAAAATGTAGGAATACAGTGATTTTTAAGTGATTGGTAAGAAAATTGGTTCAGCCAATAAAAACATCATTTCTAGCTCATAGTAAGAAAACTTTTTTTTTTTTTTTTGCCAGTCTTGGGGCTTGAACTCAGGGCCTGTGCACTATCCCTGAGCTGCTTTTGCTGAAGGCTAGCCCTCTACCACTTGAGCTAGAGGGCCATTTCTGGCTTTTTCTGTTTCTGTGGTACTAAGGGATCAAACCCAGGGCTTCATGCATGCTAGTCAAGTATTCTACCACTAACACACATTCTAAGCCCTAAGAAGACATTTTTTATCCTACACAGTGTTTATTACTTAAATAGGAGAAAGTTACTGACCAAAAGTATTGTGTTAACAATTACAGGCAAAGTTACAAGAGTCCATTGAATATGAAGACTTGGGAAAAAACAATTCCATTAAAACAATTGCACTAAACCTCAAGAAGTCAGATAGGTAAGTTTGATCAATGATAAATTAAGTTGAAGCAGAATAGTTTCATAACAAAATTATGCATCTTAGGAAAGCATCCTAAGTCATCAAAATAAATTTTGGAGTTTTATGTTCTCTTTATTGCCTTTATTGGATTTTTAACTGTTGTATCTTTCTCTTTCTTGAGAAGAAATGTATTGCTCACTAAAGTGTTTAAAAGACAAATATTGAGCACCTTTACTCTGTGATTATTTCTTGTGTGCTACCTTTAGGTATTATCATGGTCCAACTCCAATCCAGTCGCTACAGTATGCAACAAGTCAGGATATTATTAATTCTTTTCAAAGTATTAGACAAGAAATGGAAGCTTATACACCCAGATTAACTCAGGTAGGTAATTTGTTCTATTTAAAGACCAGAATTCTTATTGTCCTCTATAGGAACATCCACAATGAACTATACAAGTAACATTTTAATTAGGTATAAAGACACGTTTCTGTTAGGAAATGTTGGCTCACAGTTGTAATCTTAGCTACTCAGGAGTCTAAGATATAAGGATTGAGACTTGAAGCCAGCTCAGGAAGACAAACCCAAAAGGCTTTTTCTTTTTCTTTTCTAAAACTTGAGCAGAAGAAAAGTTTATTTCAAATAGTAAGATGGAACCGCCTATGAAAATAGACAAGGGGGTCTGGGAAGGTGGCTCAGTGGCAGAGTGCTTGCCTTGCATGCATGAGGCCCTGGGTTCAATTCCTCAGCACCACATAAGCAGAAAAAGCTGGAAGTAGCGCTGTGGCTCAAGTGGTAAAGTGCTAGCCTTGAGCTGATGAGCTGAGGGACAGCACCTAGGCCCAGAGTTCAGGCCCCACATCCAGCAAAAAAAAAAGAAAATAGACAAGGGACCAGAGCTGGTAATCTTGACACTTAGTGCAAATAACCAGCAAAAAGCCAGAGGGTAGACCTGTGGCTAAGTGGTGGAATGCCAGTCTCGAGAGAAAAGGCTCAGGGACAGAGCCTGGGTCCTCAATTCAAGCTCCAGTAACACACACACACACACACACACACACACACTCAGAAAAATTAAGTAAATTGAAAAAAAAAATCCAAAAGTAGAAAAAAGGGTGTTTGTCAAGAAGGATCTGAAAACAAAAATAGTGAGTTTTTGTTTGGTAGTATTTGAGGGGGGGAGTCTGGTCGTGGGGCCTGAACTCTGGGCCTGGGTGCTGTCCCTCAGCTCTTCAGCTCAAGGCTAACTCTCTAACACTTGAGCCACAGCGCCACTTCTGGTTTTTTTCTTTTTGCTTATGTGGTGCTGAGGAATCGAACCCAGGGCCTCATGCATGCAAGGCAAGCGCTCTACCACTGAGCCACCTTCTCAGCCATTGTTTGGCAGTATTTTATTCTTATATACTTGCTTTTAGTTGGACAACCATGCATATTGCCAAGTTACTTTTTGACATAACTATGAGCATTCTACCTGACCTCAAACCCAGAATGTATAAAAAGGTGTTTGTTACTTTTTCTTTTTTTTAATCCTTCACATTTAAGTTAGACAGTTCCATCAGTTCCTCCTTGAATATTTCTAGAGCTGTGTGTGACTCAAGTGGTAGAGCATCTGCAAAGCTAGCATAAAATAATCATAGTAATTTTTTTACTCCCAACAGCTTAGTTGAGGCAATGTTATTGCACATTATCTAAAAAAATTCAGTCTCATCACTGCAGCTTATTTTATACTGCCTCTTTTTTCTTGCTAGTTAGTAGATTGAGTGCTGCTTTCTGTCAGTAATACCTTTTACCCCCTTATCCCCAACTTAGGTGGTAAAACCAAAAAGGAAGAGAGTCACATACCCAGACTAGGGGGCATTGGTAGAAAGGAAGGGGAAAGGAGGAAGAGATAGGGGGAAAAGTGATTAATAAGGACTAGATATAGAGGCAGTAAAAAAGGAGAGGGTAGGTGAATATAATTGTGTACATAATAAGCATGGACAAAACTATCATAGTGAATCCCATTCATTTTTAACATTAATATGTGTTAATGTTAAATGGACCTTTTTTGGGGGGTTGTGGGGCTTGAACTCTGGGCCCAGGTGCTTTCCCTGCATTCTTCAGCTCAGGGCGAGCACTCTACTGCTTGAGCTACCACTTAGGTTTTCTAGTGGTTTATTGGAGATAAGAGTTTCACGGAGGGTCTGGGAAGGTGGCTCAGTGGTAGAGCACTTGCCTTGCATGCCTGAGGCCCTGGGTTCGATTCCTCAGCACCAAATAAGAAAAAAGCCGGAAGTGGCACTGTGGCTCAAGTGGTAGAGCTCTAGCCTTGAGCTGAAGAGCTGAGGGACAGCGCCCAGGCCCAGAGTTCAGGCCCCATGACCGGACCCCCCCCAAAAAAAAGTTCCACGGAGTTTCCTGCCCAGGCTGGCTTTGAACTGTGATCCCAGATCTCAGCCTCCTGAGTAGCTAGGATTAAAGGCATAATGATCCCCAGATCTCAGCCTCCTGAGTAGCTAGGATTAAAGGCGTAAGCCACTGGTGCCCGGCACTAAATTGATCTTTCCAGTCCCATCTTCAGCCAATCTCCACTACTCCTTTCCACACATAGCTAAGAGTTCAATAACACATTGTTGTTTTTTTTTTTCTTTTTTCTTTTTCTGTCGGTCGTGGGGCTTGACTCAGGGCCTTGGCACAATCCCTGATTTTTTTCACTCAAGACTAACACTCTGCTGTTTTTTTTTGTTTTGTTTTGTTTTGTTTTGTTTTGTTTTGTTTTGTTTTTGTCGGTTGTGGGGCTTGAACTCTGGGCCTGGGCGCTGTCCCTCAGCTCTTCAGCTCAAGGCGAGCGCTCTACCACTTGAGCTACAGCGCCACTTCCGGTTTTCTGGTGGTTTATTGGAGATAGGAGTCTCACGGTCTCTCCTGCCCGGGCTGGCTTTGAACCGTGATCCTCAGATCTCAGCCTCCTGAGTAGCTAGGATTACAGGCGTGAGCCACCAGCGCCCGGCACACTCTGCTGTTTGAGCCACAACACCACTAATGGTTTTCTGGTGGTTAATTGGAGAGGAGTCTCACAAACTTTTCCTGCCCAGCCTGGCTTCCAACTACCATCAATCCTCAGATATCAGCTTCCTGCATAGATAGTTATAGGTGTGAGCCATTGGTGACCGGGCTAAGATATCCAGTCTTGATAATCACATCATAAATTGTTATTTTTTCTGGGCTTTTTCATTTAATATTTCCATATCATAATTGAATATAACAGACTAAAGTCTCAGAAAGCAAAACTACTAATAGGAGGAAGCTATTACTGGAATATGTTTTCTACCCAGACTGTGATCTCAGGGAAGTTGTTAACTGTCATTGCTATAAAGTATTAATACAGGAAAAAAAATACTTTATTGCACCTTTTACTATAAAACTCAAATATTAAGTAACAACTGACAGAAAAGGAAATTTTCTTTTTTGTCTTATTTCTTTCAGGTCCTCTCAAGTAATGCTGCTAGCAGTACCATCACAGCACTATCACCTGGAGGAGCACTTATGCAGGGAGGGGCACAGCAAGCCATAAACCGTACGCACTCTGGGCAACCTTCTACTTCTATCCTTTTGTCCCTTTTGTCAATAAACTCTAAAGAGCAAGCCTTGCTTTTTCTTTGAGGCAATTCTGGAATTGGGGGATTGGGACCTCATGCATGTTAAACATGCACTGTACTACTGAGCTCTACTGGCACCTTAAGTGGTTATTTTTAGAGACTGTATGGAAAATAGCTTTTATCGTATGGACCTCTTTTTTTTTTTTTTTTTTTTTTTTTTTGCAGAGATGGTGCCAAATGATATTCAATCTGAATTGAAACACTTGTATGTGGCTGTTGGAGAACTTCTCCGGCATTTCTGGTCTTGCTTTCCTGTTAATACACCATTCCTAGAAGAAAAGGTTAGAACCTAAGTAATATCTTAGATTTTTTTTTTGGTACTGGGAATCAAACCCAGAATGGTGCACTTGCTATGCAAGCACTTTGCCACTGAGCTATATCCCAACCCTTTAGATGTTATTTTGAAGTTAGAAAATGTTACTCTGTTTACCATGGCACTAATAGAACTACTATTTTATTTAAGCCTTCCAGCACCTTCATGGAGATAGTATTAATTATAAATTCATGTCATAGATAAGGAAACTGAGATCCAGAGTTGTTCCATAACTGATGAAAATACAACTTAACTCTATTTCCAAACCACAATATAATAATAGAAGAGAAACCCAAAACAAATCATATATATATATATATATAATTATTTTGAGTCAGACACCTGTAATTCTAACTGCCCAGAAAACTGAGATCTGGAGACCACAGTTCAAACCAGCCCCAGCAGAGAAATCCCTGAGATTCTTAACTTCCAATTATCCAGCAAAAAGCTGGAAATGGAGGTGTGGCTCAAGTGGTATAACACCAGCATTGAACAAAAAAGCTAAGGAAGTATGCAAGCCTGTGAGTACAAACCCCAGTATCAACATAAAAATCATTTATTTTAGAGCTGTTTCTCAGGTGGTAGGGCACTTCTAGCAAGCCCAGTCTCACACTAATAAATAAAATTATGGAGGATAACTAAAGAGTGAACCCAGAGCCTCATGCATGTGGGGCAATTACTACTACTCATCTACATCCCCAGACCTGTACTATCTGTTTAACACAAACACTTTTAGCCAGTTAAAGGACAAGTAACAAGTAGAAAAAATACTTATGCCGTTAATAGTAATGATAGCTTTCTTGTGTAGATTGCTCATGCCCTATAATCCTAGCTTCTTAGGAAGCTAAGATCTGAGGATCACAGTTCAAAGCTAGCCTGTGCTGAAAGCCCATGAGACTCCAATTAACTACTAAAAAAGCCAGATGTGGAACTGTGGCTCAGTGAAAGAGCGCTAGCCTTGAACTTTAAAAAAGTTTTAAAAAAGCACTCAAACCCTGAATTCGAGCCCCAGGACCAGCACAAAAAAAGAAAAAAAAGTAAAAAATTGTTTGTGAAGCTTGTGCTTAGCATGCTTGAGGTCCTGGGTTCAGTTCCTGATAACAAAAGAAAGAAAAGAAGGAAGGAAAGGAGGGAGGGAGGGAAGGAAAAGAAGCATGGGACTTGGGCTGGGAAGGTGGCTCAGTGGTAGAGCGCTTGCCTTGCATGCATGAAGCCCTGGGTTCGATTCATCAACACCACATAAGCAAAAAGAAAAAAGCTGGAAGTGGCGCTGTGGCTCAAGTGGTAGAGTGCTAGCCTTGAGCTGAAGAGCTGAGGGACAGCACCCAGGCCCAGAGTTCAAGCCCCACAACCAGATCCAAAAAAAAAAAAAAGAAGAAGAAGAAGCATGGGACTGTCTGAAAAATAAAGCAAAAAGGGATTGTTAGTATGCTTCAAATGTTAAGAAAGGCAGAAGACCTAACGGGCAGCGCATTAAAGATGAAAGTTGCTGCCAACAGTAGTAGCACATATCTATTCTCTGAGCTCTCAGAAGGATCTCAAATTTAAGGATAGTCTGAACTACATAGCAAGTGCTAGTTTTTGTTTTTACTTAATGGGCACCAGTGGTTCATGCCTATAATCATAACTACTCAAAAAGCCAAAAGTAGCACTGTGACTTTAGTAGTAGTAGCCTTGAATAAACAAGCTAAAGGACAGTACCAGGCCTTGAGTTCAATCCCTAGTAGTACTCAAAAAAATAAAATGCAAGTGGCTCATTCTCACTGATACTCAATAAACTAAAGCTACAATTAAACACAACAACAACAAAAATCTCACATATTTGCCACCCATTAATTTGCAAAAAACAAAAAAACTCAAAATGTCTGCTTTTGCTCCACATTGCTAAAAGTCCTTTTATAAAACTGCTAAATTCTTTGATATAGAAAGTTGTCATTTAGAAATTTACCCTAAAGCTGGGCACCAATGGCTTAATGCCTGTAATCCCAGCTACTCAGAGGAGGCTGAGATCTGAGGATTGAGGTTCAAAACCAGCCCAGGCAGGAGAGACCGTGAGATTCTTACCTCCAATAAACCACTCAGGAAACTAGAAGTGGCACTGTGGCTCAAGTGGTAGAGCACTCACCTTGAGCTAAAGAGCTGAGAGACAGCACTCAGGCCCAGAGTTCAAGCCCCACAACCGAAAAAAAAAAAAGAAATTTACAGAGATGTAAAGTTGAAAAGTAGAAATGGCCTATAATATGTTTAAAACAGTGAGTTAGATCAGCTTTAGGTGAAGGTAACCCAAGTACAGTTCTTTTTTTTTTTTAATTTTATGCCAGGACCTGAGCACCATCCCTGAGCTTTTGTACTAAAGGTAGTACTCTACCATTTGAGCTACAGGTCCATTTTCAGCTTTTTGATAGTTAATTGGAGATAAGTCAAGGCCTTTCTTGCTTCGGCTGGGTTTGAACCCAGGTCCTCAGATCTCAGCCTCTTGAGTTCCTAGGATTATAGGCATGAGCTACAGATGCCCAACTTCCAAGTGCAACTTTTAAAAATAGTATATGTTCTTGTGTTTTTTTTCTGCCTATGTATATTTATGTACATATAAATAAAAAATAGAATGATACAAATTATGGACCAAGATGTTAAGTAGTAGAGTTTTATTTTTTTTACATTTTTCAAAATTTTGTGTGCCGAGCACTGGTGGCTCATGCCTGTAATCCTACTCATAAGGCCAAGATCTGAGGATCTTGATTCAAAGCCAGCCCGGGCAGCAAAGTCCATGAGACTCTCATCTCCAATAACCCACCAGAAAACCAGAAGTAGTGTTGTGGCTCAAGTGGTAGAGCACTAGCCTTGAGCTGAAGAGTGGAGGGACAGTACCCAGGCCCAGAGTTCAAGCCCCAAGACCAACCGAAAAACAATGACAAAAAATTGTATAGCAACTTTCCTAAGGTAGTTTTCTTTTTCTTATTACCTACAGTGTCTTAATTCTCATCATTTTTTTTTTTTAGGTAATGAAAATGAAAAGTAATTTGGAACGGTTCCAAGTTACGAAGCTCTGCCCATTCCAAGAGAAAATTCGGAGACAGTATTTAAGCACAAATGTAAGGCAACAGATGTTTACCTTATTTTCTTACTGTTCATATGTAAATGACATTAACTCTGCTCTTATGTAAATGAATACTTTGTTTTTTCTGTTGCTGAATTACTATCTTTTTAATTGTAAAATGTGTCATATAGTCAGAAGTAGTAAAATATATGTATCCAACAGTTATCAGTGAAAGTAGTGGGATAACATAATTCATAAATGTTCTGAATGCTCCTGTCCAGATAGTTGCACACTTCCCACCTACAGAGATCATGACTAACTAGCATTTCTCTTTTTTTTTGGTCGGTCATGGGGCTTGAACTCTGGGCTTGGATGCTGTCCCTGTGCTCTTAAGCTCAAGGTGAGCGCTCTACCACTTGAGCCACAGTGCCGCTTCTAGTTTTCTAGTGGTTTATTGGAGATAAGAGTCTCACAGACTTTCCTGCCCAGGCTGGCTTTGAACCGTGATCCTCAGCCTCCTGAGTAGCTAGGATTATAGGCGTGAGCCACCAGCGCATTTCTGACCATCTCTATGTTTTGCTTTATAGGTGATAGACTTAGGTAAATGTTCCAAAACAAATCTACATTACTAATTTAAGAAAACTAAGCACTCATAAACCAGTCAATGTAAAGAAAGGCAAAATTGGGCTGGGAATGTGGTTTAGTGGTAGAGTACTTGCCTAGCATGCATGAAGCCTTGGGTTCAATTCCTTAGTACCACATAAACAGAAAAGGCTGGAAGTGGTGCTGTGGCTCAAGAGAGGTAGAGTGCTAGCCTTGAGCATAGGGAGGCCCAGGGACAGTTGCCCAGGCCATTTGGTGAATAAGAGGTGTCACTATGTGTCTAGGGTTTTTTTTTACCCCAGTCCTGGGGCTTGAACTCAGGGCCTGTGCACTGTCCCTGAGTTGCTTTGCTCAAGGCTAGCATTCTACCACGTGAGCCACAGTGTCACTTCTGGCTTTTTCTGTTCATGTGATGCTAAGGAATCGAACCCAACCAAGGCTTCATGCATGCTAGGCAAGTGTTCTACCACTAAGCCATATTCTCAGCGTCTTTAGCATTGTTTTTAAAGCAAAGCTATGCCGGACACTAGTAGCTCATGCCTATTTATGAGTCTGAGATCTGAGGATCACACTTCAAAGCCAGCCCAAACAGGAAAGTCCATGACACTTATCTCTAGTAAACAACCAGAAAACCAGAAGTGGAGCTGTGGTTTGAAGTGATAGAGTGCTAACCTTGAGGAAAAAAAAGATACCTCAGAGATAGCACCCAGGCACTGAGTTCAAGCCCTACAACTGACAAAAACAAAAAAATTTTTTTTTGTTTATTTCTTAAACATTCTAAGTGGAGGGGCTGGGAAGGTGGCTCAGTGGTAGATTGCTTGCCTTGTATGCATTAGGCCCTGGGTTCGATTCCTCAGTACCACATAAGCAGAAAAAGCCAGAAGTGGTGCTGTGGCTCAAGTGGTAGAGCACTAGTTTTGAGCTGAAGAGCTAAGGGACAGTGACCAGGCCCAGAGTTCAGGCCCCATGACGGGGGGGGGGGGGGGGGGGGGGCGGGGGGGGGGGAGCCGGGGGATTTACTTAGAAAAGAAGCTTGGAGCATGTTTCCACACCACACAAAGGATAGCAAGTAGATTTCATATTTTGGTGCCCATCCTAAGGCTTGAACTCAAGTCACTTGAGCCACAGTTCTACTTCTGGCTTTTTGGTGGTTAATTGGAGATAAAGAGTGTCACGGATTTTCTTGCCTAGGCTGGCTTTACACAGCAGTTCTCATATCTCAGCCTCCTGAACAGCTAAGATTATAGGCATGAACCACTGGTGCCCAGCTTAGATTTCATGTCTTATACCTTCTCAGTTGTTTATAAAGCACAGTGTTGACAAGTTTTCTGAAGCCATGTGTAGCTTTGTAGTAGGATGTGCTGGTCATCTGATAGAACTATATAAAGCCACTGCTGTCCACTGAGCAGTACAAGCAATTTTTTTTAATGTTCCAGACAGAGCTTAATAGCATAATCTCCTCCCCCACCATGATAATAGATGTATCAAATGGGGGGAATGGGATTTCTGGGATTGAACCCAGTACCTCATACATTCTAGACAAACATTCTACCACTGACTAAACTCTTGGGTTAGGAAAGGCTTTTTTTTTTTCTTTTTAATTCTGTATTAGATTAAAGCCATTGACATACTTAAAAGCAAACTTTATAAGACTTTAGTTATATTTATGATGAAGTCAGAACTCTTAAAGATCTATAGTTGTGGGGCTGGGAAGGTGGCTCAGTGGTAGAGTGCTTACCTTGCATGCACGAGGCCTTGGGTTTGATTCCTTAGCACCACATAAGCAGAAAGTCCAGAAGTGGTGCTGTGGCGCAAGTGGAGAGTGCTAGCCTTGAGCTGAAGAGCTGAGGGACAGCACCCAGGCCCAGAGTTCAGGCCCCACGACCGACAAAAAAAAAATCTATAGTTGTAAACTAAGATGGGATGACATACACTGTGAAGCATTGAAACTATTTGGATTTTTTTGTGATCTATACAACTGTATAGCATTCTTGACATGTTGCGGCTTGACAAGAATAGTAAACATAAATAGCTGGGCACCAGTGACTCACATCTGTAATTCTATCCCCTCAGGCTTAGATTTAAGAAGATTGGGGTTCAAATCCAATGAAGGTTAAAAAAAAAATCCATGAGACTCTCATCTCCAATTAACCAGCAAAAAGTCTGTACTGGAGATGTGGCTCAAGTGATAAAAGCACTAGCTATGAGCAAGAAAGGTGATTGTAATCACAAGTCAACTTAGAAGAGGACTTGGGATGTAGCTCAGTGACAGAGTGCCTTCCTATCATGCAGAGGGCCCTGGGTCCTTTCTTTCAGAAACACACACATGAGAAAAAATAGGTTTCACAGAGTTGTGAATCCAAGATTGCTGGGCTTGATAGAGTACATGTTTAGCATGTGTTAGGCCCTAAGTTTGCCAAAGATCAAATCTTCAAAGAGTAAGGCATTTTTCAAATATTCTAAAGACAATGTTGATGCAAGCTTCCACCTTCACCAGCAATCCAGTATGTGGATCTAGAAATAACCAGCTTAGTTCAGCTTCCTCATTTACCTCTTGTCCGATTGTTGGTTAATGACCAGGCAACATCACAACCCAGGCAGAGCAAGTGAGCTTCCAGCCACTGCACCACACCCAGCATTTCTCCTTTCCATACAGAATGTGTTTGCATTTTTTTTTTTCTTTTTTTGGGGTCCGGTCATGGGGCCTGAACTCTGGGCCTGGGCGCTGTCCCTCAGCTCTTCAACTCAAGACTAGCACTCTACCACTTGAGCCACAGCACCACTTCCAGCTTTTTTTTTTTTCTTATGTGGTGCTAAGGAATCGAACCCAGGGCCTCAAGCATGCAAGGCAAGTGCTCTACCACTGAGCCACCTTCCCAGCTCCCGTGTTTGCATTTTTTTAAAGGGCTTGCCCGTTGCCTCATTGAGGAAGTGCTCGTGGGCTGGGGAAGTAGAAAGCATGTGCCAGGTTTGGGTCAGAAACAAGTATCTCCTGCCCTTTCCTATTTGTTACGTGTCCTTCCATATCTTTCAGTTGGTAAGTCACATAGAAGAAATGCTCCAGACAGCCTACAACAAGCTTCATTCATGGCAGTCACGGCGCCTTATGAAGAAGACGTGAGGTGTTCATGGTTTAATGAAATTGAGAAAACTGTGACCTGCAGTGACTCTGGAGACCTGGCCTGACAGACATGCAGATGTCCATAAAGGAGAAATATCTGCAGCATGCCAACTCCCAGAGCATATGCTATTGTACTTGCACATTGGGAACTGAAGGGAAGGAAGGGACCTTGACTCAACTAAATGCTGGGGGGGAAGGTAAATTAAGGCAGAACCAAATGAGCTAAGTTGCAAATATATTTGAATATATATTACATATATATGTGTGTGCATATATATGTATATAAAGACTGTTTACTGCAGTTACTCAGGAACTGCTTTTGATTGATATTAAGCTGCTTTGAGAAATTTTTTTTTTAAATTTAAAGAGTGCATTGATAAAAATCTGAGGTTTTTTTGTTTTGTTTTTGTAAATTTTTTTTCTTAAGTTTATGGCACAGGGTAGACCTTAAGTATTTCTCCTCCATCCTCCACTTGGACCCTCAAGTTTTACTGAATTCTAGTTGTACCTTATATCAGCAAGTTAAGGAGAGTACTTTAAAATAAAGCGAGGGAAACTGTTGTTCAACCATCAGGAAACAGTTGTAGTCAGAAGACATCATTGGTCCTGTGTTTCCTAAGGAAATAAGAATAAATATTGCACTGAGTGTGGTTTGGAGTCCCTAAGTAAAGGGGGATCATATTTACAGAAAGTCGTGTGTGGGGTTTTAATGCAGAATTTTGTCAGAAGACAATGGCGCTGCATGTTTAAGTGCAAATGTATATTGCTAAGATTTTTTAAAAGATGGCATGTGCTTTGAGAAGAGGAAGTTGCATTTTTAAGAGTTTAAAAATCTTACGAGTGAGAAATATAAAAATCTTACTTATTTTCACCTCTAGAAAAAATAAAAGATGTTTCTCATACCGACTTTTCTCCAGTATCTGATTGTTACTGTCCTTGGCAGATCGATAGTCATTGCATAGTGACTGGAAAGCCTAGATGCAAGAAGAAGAAGAAGAAGAAATGTTCTTATTTCTGCGATCTATGCCATATTTGTTCCTAATAGGACTCACTCACTGTTTATCTGAGATTTTAGGTGTTGTTTTTTGTTGGGTTTTTTTTTGGGGGGGGGGGGAGGTTTCCAGTCGTGGGGCCTGAACTCTGGGCCTGGGTGCTGTTCTTCAGCTCAAGGCTAGCGCTCTACCACTTGAGCCACAGCGCCACTTCTGGCTTTTTTCTTTTTGCTTATTGGTGCTGAGGAATCAAACCCAGGGCCTCATGCATGCAAGGCAAGCGCTCTACCACTGAGCCACCTTCCCAGCCCGATTTTAGGTGTTTTTTAAGGTAAGGCTTTTTACAGGGTTTTTTAAAAACTAGAACATAACCTATGGTTTCTTCTAATGTGTGGCACATAGGTGTGTTGCTAGAGGACTGCTCCTTTTTTTATCTTTGTTTCTTTTTTTGTAAGTCTTGGGGCTTTAACCTTTGGCCTAGGTGTTGTCCCTGAGCATTTCAGCTCAAGGCAAGCGCTCTACCACTTGAGCTACAGCACTACTTCCAGTTTTCTAGTGGTTAATTGGAGATAAGAGTCTCACAGACTTTCCTGCGTGGGCTGGATTTGAACAGCGATCCTCAGGTCTCAGCCTCCTATGTAGCTAGGATTACAGGCGTGAGCCACTAATGCCCGACTCTTTTTTTTTTTTTTTTGCCAGTCCTGGAACTTGAACTCAGGGCTTGGGCACTGCCCTGAGCTTTTGCTCAAGGCTAGCACTCTATCACTTGAACCACAGCACCACTTCAGACTTTTTTTCTGTTTATTTGGTACTGAGCAATCAAAACCAGGGCTTTGTGCATGCTAATCAAGCACTCTTACCACTAAGCACTTCCCAGCCCTGCCCGTTCTTTTTTTCAAGCCATATAATAAACTGGTTGCTCTTTTTTTTTTTTTTTTTTTGCCAGTCATGATGCCTGAACCCTGGGCCTGGGCACTGTCCCTCAGCTCTTCAGCTCAAGGCTAGTGCTCTACCACTTGAGCCACAACACCACTTCCGGCTTTTTCTGCTTATATGGTGCTGAGGAATCGAACCCAGGGCCTCATGCATGCAAGGCAAGCACTCTACCGCTGAGCTACGTTCCCAGCCCCTGGTTACTCTTAATATAATAAGTATGGTATGTCAAAACTTTTTCAGACCATGAAATGGTAAAAGAGAGTACATATCACCTTACAGGTTTACAAAAGTGCTTTTCAAATGTTACTATCACAATTAGTCTTGAGTAATAGCAATGGAGCAAACAAAAAACATGTCCGAAATAGGAAAGCATGGGGAAAGGCAGCCATAAATAAAATCATGTTGAAGTATGTTAAAAGATTTAAATGAGGGGTGGGAATGTGGCTTAAATAAGAGTGCCTGTTTAGCAAATGCAAGGGCCTAGGTCAAACCACAGTATCACTGTTAAAAAGACCTATAATAGAGCCTGAGGAAGAAGAGGCAATTTTGGAAAATTGGGACAGGCTTCATTTAAATGGAACTATTTTGCCCCTGGAAGTGGCTCACACCTGTAATCCTCGCTATAAGGAGGCTTAGATCTGAGGTAGGGAAGTTCACCACCAAAAAGCTGAAGTGGGAGATGTAACTCAAGTATAGAGTGCTATCTCAGAGCAAGAAAGCTCAAGGACAAAACCCAGGACCTACACAAGAAAAAAATAATACCTTAACAGATGTGGTGGTGTACATCTATAATCCCAACACTAGGGAGGCAAAGGAAGGAGAAATGAGAATTTGAGAATAACCTCAACCACTTAACAATATCTCAATAAGAGGTAACATTTTAGCTAAATTGGAGGTTGAATACGATTTCACAGGACAAAAGAATCGTTTGTTCTAGACTGCAGGAAGAATATGGTGGTGAAAATTTGAAAGATCAGTGTTTTACAGAAACAGGAAAAATGTGTTAATATTAAAGGCTTGATTTTAGCTAGTGAGAGGCTCGAAAAGTGGTTGTGAGTGACTGTGTGTGCCAAGATAACATTTAGAAAAAAGTTTTAAGTCAGCCGCTGGTAGCTAATGCCTATAATCCTAGCTACTCAGAAGGCTGAGATCTAAGGATTGTGGTTCAAAGCAAGCCCAGGCAGGAAGGTCTATGACACTCTTATCTCTAGTTAACCACCAAAAAGCCAGAAGTGACACTGTGGCTCAAATGGTAGATTGCTAGTTTGAGCAATAAAGCTCAGAGGTGCCTAGGGCCTGAGTCCAAGCTCCAGGATGTACACCCCCCAAAAAAAAAAAAAAAACAGTGTTGGTATATAAGTTTTTATGGGTATTAAGAAACACTATTTAAATAAAAAGCCAGAACCCTATAATAATCGAAACTGGGTCAAAATTAACGTGGAGCCAGGTAGAGGGGACAGGATTGAATAAAGGGTATGTGACGACTATTTCTCAAGAAAATGAAGGGACTAAGTGACTTCACCAGAGTTCTTGATTTGACTTTTGCCATAAGTCTTAAAATAGTTGAGTACTTTTTATTTTTTTCCCCAAATTCTTTATTATGATTGATTACATAATTTCCCAAATTTCACAGTATTGTGGAATAGTGATGCTTAAAGTCACAAACACATTCTAACTTTCATGGGGCAAATTGTGGTCTATAACATTTATGAGTTACATGAGCTTTCCAGTACAGTTATTTCTTCCACATTGGGTGACATGTACATTTATTTTGCATAGCGTCAGCTGTTCCCTCTTTCCCACTTGTTCCCTCCCTCCCTGGAGTACTTTTTAGATGGACTTCAACAAGTATGGAGGCTAACTATAGTAGTCCCTGAATCCCTACTGCCTTCCCATTGTATATGATGGCAGGCAGGGTGATGAGGCCCACAGCTGACCAGCACTGTGCCAAGCCCTCTTCTGTAGTGTCTTGCTTTATTCTTAAAACCAATGAAGCCAGGTAGATAGCTACAGATTTTTCTACAGGTTAGAAATGGTTTAAAGGTTGACGTTTATTTAAACTCAGCCAGTAAATAAAGCTGCTAAGCCACCTCTTCCTTTCTGTTAGGAGTGGGAGATCATGAAGTGTCAGTCCTGAGCCAAAGCTTCCATGGCCTTGTTCTTCTGTTGACTGTTGTCATTCCTGATTGTATCCTATGTAAATCATAGAGTTAGTCTGTCTAGAGAGCTGCAAGATGTAATACGGAAAGCATGTCTTGCTTGAGAAGAACAAGTTTCTTCAGGAAAGAAGCATAGAGTTGGTGCTGTTTATCTGCTTAGGACTGCTACAAAAAGATTAGGAACCTTGTGATAATTCTTTCAATTGGGAGCAAAACATTGAAATGTCAGTATCTACAAAGGTACCAACTGCTTATCCCAGGCTGAGGGTTTCATCCAGAAAGTCCTTTGCTGTTGGTGCATACATCATCTCTGGGATGGAAAGCTGCCCATTTTAAACTTAAGACTTGCTGTCTCCAGTGTCAAGTCTTGCCTGGGATTCCTAGGATTACCTCTGCCCTTTCCCAGTTTAGCTCACTCCAGACTCAGCTGTTCTCCCAGTTCTTGAGGCCAGGAAGTTTGCGTTATTTCAGCTCCTAAATTGCCTTAACCTGGTTAAGAAGTGAGTGATCCATCCTTAAGTTTAAAGCTCCCTATCACAAAAGAGCTGTTTTTTTTAACTTTGTTACTACATAACCTGGTTTTTGTACAGCCTTCCACAGGTCTCTAATACAAATGAGACATAGGATTGTACCTGTTGAGATTCATTCAGCTCCTCCTATGCTTCTATCCGAATATAACATGAAAAGCCATTATCCTCGCTGGCCAGCTGGCAGCCAGCCTGCTGTGTTTGTTGGAAGACTGATAGCAGGAATGGGCAAGTTTTGCCGTATAAGATAAACTATGTCTTAAATTTTACTTTTTTATTGTCACAGAAATAAGTAGCAAAATGAGAGGCATAAGCCAAAATCAGTTACCAGTTACATTGCATAAACAAACTAAACACTTGGGTTATAAAACAAGACAAGTATATGCTAGCTATGGACACAGAAATGTTTGTACTTCTCCCTGGCCTTGGCCATCCCATCAAGTGTCAAATTCAAGTTTACTAGGTATTATTAGATTGCAAAGGCCATCATTACTCCAAAGTGTCTTTCTGGTCCTAATAACTTAAGTGGGAAACAGAACTCAAAAGTACAGTACTACTTTGAAAATTGTAAGAGCAAAATGAGTGGTGACGTAGGCCTGTAAATCCCAGCTATTCCAAAGCAGAGGCAAGAGGATCATGAGTCCAAGGTCAGCCCAGGCAAAGCTAATGAGACCTATCAAAAGCAAAATACACTCAAAATGGCTGGGGGACACAGCTCAAGTAGAAGGGAGCATTT